ACAGATTGATAAACAAATACAACTATTTTTTTCATTTGTAAAAAGAAAGTTATGAGCTCAGGCTCTAGAATTGTGTGGGACAGATTTTGCCTCCATTAGCTGTGTGAGCTTAGGTTTCTTTGTGCTTCAATGTCCTCATTTATTTTTAAAAAGGAAATTATCTGCTTTATTGAAATGTTGTATTAAATGCATTTATTGTTTTAAGGATTATTCTTGACACTTCGATCTGCTCAATAAATTTTAATCAATCTTCTCATCCTTCTTTTTTAGATTGTTGCTTTCGTTAAGGCAAAAGTTTAGAACTCTCTAAGCATTTTAAAATTTAGTAAAGTCTGTCATTTGATAACTGTCTTTTCTTCATATTGAAACTTGGTAAGGGGATAGAATAAGCTCTGTCTAGAGATATAAAACAAAAACTAGAATGTGTTTAGCAAAAATTATCCAATGTTACTACTTGAAGTCATTACCAGAAAAATCTGCCCAAATTAGTAATGAGCTTTAACTCAAAGGTTTTCTTCTTTTTTTCTTTCAAATTATACAGAGAAAACCATCAAAATTAGCTAAGCAAAGCACTACCTAGTAGGATATTTGGGGGAATTTTTTTTTTGTGGGGAGAAATTTTTTTAAAGAAAAAGAAAAACATCTTTTGTAATATTTGTATCTGTAGCATACAAGTCGAGGGAAGGGCTTCCAAATCTCTTTAAAAGACTATGTCCTCTTAAGGTGTTTAAAAAATTCTTAGACTGTGTTGTAAACACCACTAGTTAGTTCAAAAGAGGTACTTCCCTTTCCAAATTAAAAAAAAAAATCAAAGTAGGAATGCCTCTGTTCAAATCCTGTATTCCAATCTTACAGAATACATATCAATTAATTACAACTCCAAACGATTACACACCAGTGAAAAATACAAAGAGAAAGCAAATGAAAGAACATAATTGATCCCCAAATAATGCCAGCAGCAGCTGTGGTCATACTAATAACCATGACATAATATTTGATCCATAAAAATGCCAATATGGCTTCTTAACTCCATTAGCAACAGAGAAAGAGAAAGAGAAAGAGAGATAGAGAGACATACATATACAAAAGCCCAGAGAGGACAACTAGCTTGCCCAGGTCTATAGAAATATTCTCTGCATATCTGGGGGCAAAATTTAAGTCTTACCACTTCTAGTCCATTCTGCTGTCCTATACCACTGACAGTGTCTAATGGAAGTCGCATTCCCAAAATTTGCCTGGGGTCATTTGTTTAGAATTCAGAATGCATTTTCTAAGATTGAAAAACATGTTTTGAAAGATCATTGGCCTTCCCCTCATAGATACACATTTCTATACTTAATGCTACAGACCCTATTTTATGTATATAATGTGTTTCTAAAGGGGAAAAACAAGAAAAACACTTAGAACAATTATTTGGATGCATGGGAAACATTTTCCCACCCTGCAGCCCGGCTGTTTCAGACCAGAATTGACCTTCAAACCTGGTTCCCTGAAAATACAATCCAATCTTAACACTAGCTTTCTCGTATCTGGCTCTGAAAGAAAGCAGAGCAGTGTTTTTGAAGCACTATTAGAGGGGCAGGGATAAGTGTAGGAGACAGTGGAGTTCTAAAGGTGGGGCATTGATTGCGGTCTTCTCTGAATGCAGACAATAGAGGAGTATATTTAAAGAGAATTTAGAAAACAACCATTAAATGAACTAAATGGCCTAGGCAATCTACTTTCTACCAGCACTATGATCTGGAAACTCTAAATAACATCATCCCTAAAAAATATTTTGTTAGTCTATATTTTAAACAATTAATGTGGTTACTATTAAGATTTAGTGTATATTAAATTCACAGATTTTTATTGCTTATCTTATAACAGACACCACATGAGCTCCAGACACACACAAATTCAGCAACAAGTTTTTGTGTCATTAGTAAGTTCATAACAGTTCCAAATACTTTGAGCTCACTAAGGGCACAGTTCATGCATTTAAGCCCTGTGGTATTACATCTTTTTTAAAAAAATGTAAACATTAGATTATAAATTAACAATGATAGCACGGTGATTATAAATATGAAGAAATAGAATCGGAATTAATTTAATTCTGCCATTTTTCATGACTAATAGAAGTTTTTATGTTTAACACAGTGAAACAGAGTGCAGCCCAGAAAGTCTGACCGTTTCATTTGGTCAGTCCCAATGGTCCAACTTGGTAACTGGCTACATCACACATTCCATTTGGGCTGCCTTTCTTTCCCTCTTTCTTTTACCCACTCCCTTAACCTCCTTTGCCTCCCTAAGAAACTATTTGCTCTCACATCCATGTCTCCAAATCTGCTTTTGAGGGAGTCCAAGCTGAAACACACCACAATGATCATACAATGAATCCTACATTGGTGGCTAGTATTCCTGGCAGAAGAGCAGGTATCTCTAGATTTTCTCTTCCTTATTTTGTTCCCTGGATTTCCTCATACCACACCCTAGGGAGAAGATATAGACGGAGCCAGCATGCATGTGGCAGTTGTTTAGTGCAGGTAAGATTGCATTCACATTTATCTATATCTAGAGGAAATCCTAGACATGGTGAGCCTCCCAACACTGTTCAAGTTACAAATAATAGAAGCTGAATCTGAAGATCAGAAATGGTGGACAAAGGGGGTCAAACAGCATCTATTTATGTGTCTTTTCTTCTTCCTTTGCTACCATTAGACCTGACACAGCTTGCTGGTACAAGTCTAAGTAGAGCTCTAAAATGAGCATTAGGCCGGGATTCTGGAGTAGGTTCTTTTCAGAACAGAAAAAGATCTCTGATGCAGGAACGAAAATACAGGGAAAAGGAAACTCGAGGAGCAGCTTAGAAAGAAGGCAAGTAGCTGTGGTCCACCGAGTAGGCATAAGGTTCAGAGAGAACACTCTTACAAGGGAATTCAAGTAAACGGTGATAGTCACATTTCACCTCCTTAAACTCTTGGATAAGATTCTTATAATAGTTCTCAGCTCTGCCTGCAAAACACTGAAGTTTTATTTATTTTTTCTCCAAAAACTACAGTTTCCCATGACTTGGATATAATAATCGGAATCCCTGGGCATAGCGCCTGGGTACACACATTTTTAAAGCTCTGGGGTAATTTTGACATACAAAGTAGAGATAAGGACCTAGAAGCAGAATAGGAAAAATGTTGCCCTAATTTGACAAGTAATTCCTTCTTTGTTTCTTAATCAGATGTTTCTAATAAGAATTCAAGAAGAAAAACTCCCTATTTATTTATTTATTTATTTGTTTGTTTTTTTGAGACAGGGTTTCACTGTCAGCCAAGCTGGAGTGCAGTGGCACGATCATGGCTCATTATAGCCTCAACCTCCTAGGCTCAAGAGATCCTCTCACCTCAGCCTGCTGAGCAGCTGCAACTACAGGCATATGCCATCATGCCCAGCTAACATTTTTTTTTTTTTGTAATTTTTTTGTGGAGATGGGGGTCTCCTTTTGTTGCCCAGGCTGGTCTCAAATTCCTGGCCTCAAGTGATGCTCCTACCCCAGCTGCCAAAGTGTTGAGATTACAGGTGTAAACCACCACACCCTGCCGAAATTCTTGATAAATAAACTCTAGTCTCAAAGGACATGGTGTGTTTATCTGTCAAAATGGATACCTCCTCAAAATGAATGTGTTTCTCAGTCACTACGTGGAATGGGCAAGGATTCTTGAGAAATAAATGGAATGCCAATGATGTTTATACTCTCCCAAATATCTTACATTCAAGATGAAACATATTTGCATGAATAAACACATGGAAAATCTGCAAGGTATAGATTCTGCCTTAAGGCCAGGCACCTTTCTGTGTTTCTTAGTACCTGAACTCTTACTACAACTAATGTTTTTTGCAGGAGGAAGGTATGTGCTGAAGGAATTGTTCTCCATCTGCTATTACTCCTTAGAGTCTTCAAGTCAATACTTGAATATTACCAGCGCAGCACAATGGCTGGTCAATGACTCAACATACAGCTGCAATATTAACTCAGGGCATGATTCACAAATGATTCTTCTTCTATTATAGTTGCTGACAGAGTCCTGGCAACGGACCCAGTCTTTTAGAGAAAAGTTGATCTTGGCAATGAATCCAGTCTTTAGAGAAAAGCTGATAGTTGATTGAGAGTGTGTGTGTGTGTGGGTGTGTGGGTGTGTGTGTGTGTGTACACAGATGGGGGGGCATATATATATATACACACACATACAGAGCAGCAAGATGGAACCAAAATATATGAGTATATTGGGAGAGCATTTTGTCCTGGCTTGTCAGTATTCCAATATTTTCCTCCCTGCTATGGGAATTAGTGTTGAAGTCAGACAGATCTGGGTTCAAATCATGGTTCTGTAACTTAATTGGTTATGTTCTGTGCCTTCTCTGAGCCTCAAATAATTGAAAAGAATAACATTTTTAAGTTATTGCAAAGTTGTTGGACAGAGTAAATAAAAAGAGTACATTTAGAAATCACATCTGAATGGCTGCACACAATAAACACTTTCTTAAGTTTAATTGTCCAGTCCCATAGATTTAGCCCAAATAACATTTATTTTATAAAAATCAAAATAGAGGGGTTTTAACCAAAGGTGCTTAGAGTCATGCAACTACACATTTTTCAACAGTACTATGGGCACAGTTTTAGAAAATGTCACTTAGAGGCAAATGCATGGAAATATATAAACTAGAAATCGTATAAATGCAAAACATATTTTAGGACTATATTTCATTTTATCTCCTAATGTTTAAAAACACACACACCCACCCACCCACACACACACATCCCATGGCCTTCAAGCCCTGGAAACCACCTCTTGTCCCTATATAAATGACACTTTGCTTGTCATTTTTATTTTTTAATGGTTAATGATTTCCATGTAATAATTGCCAGTTTTCCTCTACCCCTTTGTCCCCTGCTGCAAAAGATCTAATCTATTCAGAGGAAGATAATTGCAGAGCTGCTGAAACAAAAAGAAATCGCTGCATCTCACCACTGTTGTGCGCCTCCAGCTGCGAGGTGGAGTTGACAGCAACCTTGCATAGCGAACAGTAAAGAAGCCGTTTTGCCTTTTCTTCCTCGGTCTCAGTAGAAGGACATGAGCTATTGCCAGTGGCTGTTGTTGGGCTTTTTTCCACTTTAGAGGTGATCTCAGTTGTCATAACACTGCTTTTGCGGATTTCCACAGTTGTCGTCGTTGATATTGCTGGTGTCCCTGCAGTACCATCTGTATTCGAAAAACACAGAAAAAAGGGGGGAAAACAGTGATATTATCATTCCCTATTCAGAAACGTCTCACAAATATTGCATTCTGCTTACAATGATAAGAGCAGCTAGCAATTGCTATTTGTCAAGGATGCATCAATCACCTCATAAAAAAATTTACACAGATGACCATATTTAATTTCATGTATTAAAATAACACTTTCAGATGATTCTTGAACATCAACATAAATACAAGTTTAAACTATTCTATGGGGTAAACATCCACAAATTTCTCTTGTTAACACATAGCCTTAGTACAACAATATTTATAATATATTGCAGTCTCTCAATGCATATTTCTAAATGGCTTTTTCTAGATTTTTAAACAATTAAAGTAGAAGATAAATGCTTTTAAGATACTTTGAATTTTTTTACTACTTGTCTATTTCGCTTCTTTCTTTCATTCTTTCTTTTTTAATTAAAAAACAGGTACAGATCCTTTTGCAATATTTATCCAAAAAGAAAAAGAAAAAGAGAAATTGGAGGCCTGATGCCATCGTTGCTTTGACCAGATCAACAGTTCAGAAAATCATTGCTCTACTTACAAAGAGTTCCAATTCAACCCAAGGTACAAAAATCATCAATATCAAAAGAAGAAGAATTCTAGTCTAGTGTATCTATTAAACACATGCCCTGTACCAAGCTGTACACAGGGAGTTTGTGGCAAAAATATTCAGACATCAATAGCCACTATTCACAAGGAATTCACAGGATGGCCACACCATGCTGTTGTCACATTGTTCTAAGAGTTAAATGATCATGAAAATGTTGAGGCACTGTCACTCTACAACCCTTCTGGCTCTAAAGTCTGATGCTAAATCTGGAGAGATCAATCTCCAAAGTAAAACTAACCTGTCTTAACTTTATTTGGGTATGCACAGCTCCCCTTCCAAATATGCCAATCACTGTTATGTTAGCAATGTTTGCCATACCCAATAACAAATTGCAAATAAGCTCTACACTCATATCCTATCTACCCATATACTACTTTTTTGCCTCTCAGCTGGTTCTTAACTTCCTCTCCAAAATATTCCTAGGCTGCCTCTCCAGCTACATCTGCTATTGAAACTGTCTCTCATTCCATATACTGCTATGGTCACTATCTAATGCTACGTTGAAAAGTTCATGATAAAGAGACTTGGCAAGGATATAAGGACCAATGGTCTGTCTGCAATTAAGTGTTGTCTGCATAAACACTTACTTCTTATTAGTTCATTACTATCAAGAGTTGACTGCAGCTACAGAATGACTGTAAACTGGGATATCCCCTTTCTTCCAGGCATCGGGGTGAAAATATAGGTGAGGTTTTTTATTGCTTTTCTAAATAGGGCATCAGAAACACTAGTCAATAAAAAGAGAAATGAATCCTTGTTTAAGGGCTGTTGTATAAAAAAATTCATCTGGATCTTATTTTCTTTGCCTGACACTTCACACACTTTCAATCACTTATTTACCTGCTAAGATCATCAAGTAAGTCTCTTTCAGTGTCATAAAGAACATTCACCAACCAAGTTTTCAAAATCATGCTGCAAATATGTGTCTCATGGCTAGAGAAAAATAAATAAAATTACCCTAACACTAAGTTATGTCATTAGAATACATTTATTCCCTTGCACACTGAAACGTCCACTCCCTGATTAGTTTTTATTTGCCTGTTAAGGTTGCATTATTAAAATAAGAAGTGACGCCAAAAAATATCTCTGAGAACCTAGAGATGGAATAAAACATAACAACTTTAAGATGGTGCCATAGCTGTTTATTGCCCCCTATATGCCAGAAATGATTGTTTGAAAGCATGAGTATATGTAACTGTGAATAAACAACAAGTAGTTAATTTGCTAGGTGTTTTATATACTTAAAATAATTGTATATATTTATAAAACAATTCCATTTTTATATTGTATAAATTGTATGTATTTATAAAATAATTCCACAGTACAGAGCTGAGAAAATGAGAAAACTCCGGAAGTTAAGAAAATGTCCCAAGGACACACAAGTAGTATATTGTGAGCCAGAGCCAAGTGTTTCATGGAACAAGAAAGTTAGATTTTGAGGCAAAAAAAAAAAAAAAAAAAGAAAAGAAAGAAAGTTAAGAATGATACTCTTGGCCATGACTGTGATTCTCCACAGTAAGGTCACAAGGAGCAGTGGGCTAAAACCACTAAATTGTTCTTAGGATCAGCTCTATCAGGAGTGATAACCGTAAATACAGATATTATATTTAAACTTAGTTTGGCCACACACTGAAGCTAGTGTGATACTGTGGGTATTTACTTCATTGAAATCTACTAGGGTAAAATTTCCCTAGTACTACCCTGCTCTAACAACTTTTCCTCTGGATTGACTTGTTTATTTGGTCTTAATCTGAAAATGGCACATAGCATAGATCATAGTAATCCTAAACTAACTTTCCTATTTATAGTGCAAATTATTGACAAAAGCATAGAATAAACAAAACCATGAATCTTTCAATTCCTGTGACATCTACGTTAGTGTTTCTCTGACCACAGAGAATAATGTACATTTATACCAAAGACAACAGAAGATTAGAGACATCAGATTCTCTATGCCTAGGGCTTAGTGAAGTATTAACATTTCTTAAGGCAAGTTCCTTGCATGAGACAGGCTTAGGGGAATTAATATCAACATTCAATTTCTGGTGCATCTACTTTGTGGAATACTTTTGACCACATAGCTAACCATAAATCTGTTATTTTCTAAGCATGTAGTTAGTGTGAAAGAAATATAACATTACATTTTTATCTTAAACGTAATATGTAGAACTTGACTCCATAAAGATAGGAATACTATTAATTTATAAGGAGTCATGGATTTTTCACTTACCTTTGTTTTAGCAGTGATAAAGGGGTGTTTTTTAAACCAAGAAAGTAAGGTAAATATATTTTAGCAATATGGCTTGTTCAAAGAAAGTCAACTGTTCTATATAATGCATACAAAATTACATATAGCAAAGAAGTTTACTTTAATATGGTACATTAAATTACCAGTTATAAATAATTATTATCCACACGTTAAAATAGAATCTTAAATGAATGATAATGTTAACAGCATATACCCTTGACATGATGTGATGAAAATTACCTCTGTGGTCTTCCTGCTCATAACCCCTGTCTAACCGTGAGAAAAACAGAAAACAGACCTAAACTTAAGGACATTTATCAAATTCCTGACCAGTACTCCTCAAAATTAGCAAGACTATCAAAACGAGGAAAGTGTGTGCAACTATCACAGTCTAGAGGAACCTAAGGAAATATGAGAACTCAGTGTAATGTGGGATCCTGAATGAGATTCTAGGGCAAAAGAACATTAGGTAAAAACTTGGAAAATCAAATAAAGAATGGGCTTTAGTTAACACTAATGTATAAATATTGATTCATTAGTTGTGACAAATGTACCATATTAACGTGAGATGTTAACAATAAGAGAAGCTAGATGCAGGGTATATGGGAACTTTCTGATATATTCTTGTATCTTCTCTGCAAACCTAAAACTATTCTAAAATTAAAGTTTATTACTTTAAGAAAAACAGAATTATAACCAGTCAACAAATGGTGCATCATTAAAGTTATTTTGTAGAATCATAGTCAGAAAGAACCTTCATGGCTTTAGAGCACAGTTTTCTTAATTTTTAGATAGAGAAGTTTCAGGAAATTTCTCAAGGTCACATAGTGCTCTGAGATAATAACTAAGACTTGACATTGTATCTCCCAATGTGAAATCTAGTGCTTATTATCTTAACTGCAGTTACTCATGCACTCAACTTTATTCCATCAACATTTATTAAGCAACTATTTTGTGCTAAGTTCTATCCCAAGCCATTGGGATAAGAAGGCCAATAAATATAGATCATGTACTTAGTGAAAAAATAGTTTATGAGATATCCCATAAAGACTTGAAATAATAACTATTATTATAAACTTAATAATTCTTAATCTGCTTTGTTCATTGCTATATTCTTGCACTTATCCTTGGCATGAAATGGGCACTCAATAAATATTGAGAGAAAACAATGAATAAATTACCAATAATAGCTAATCATCGTGGAAGCACTTTTAAAATATTTACAAGTATTAACTCATTCAATCCTCATAAAAAAACAAGAGGGGCACAACATTTTTATTATCATCATAGCAACAAAACTGAGGTATCTCCATACCATACCAAGTTTCAAACTGTGTTTGAAAACTTGAACACAGTTCAAATTTTCAAATCAAAAACAATGATTTGAACACAGTCTGGCTCAGTTGCACGTGCTCTTTGTTTATTTTTTATTGCTTAAAATTTAATTTTTTAGGATTCGGGCGGAGCAAGATGGCCAAATAGGAACAGCTCCAGTCTCCAACTCCCAGCGCGAGCGACACAGAAGACCGGTGATTTCTGCATTTTCAATTGAGGTACTGGGTTCATCTCACTGGGGAGTGCCAGACGATCGGTGCTGGTCAGCTGCTGCAGCCCCACCAGCGAGAGCTGAAGCAGGGCGAGGCATTGCCTCACCTGGAAAGCGCAAGGGGGAAGGGAATCCCTTTTCCTAGCCAGGGGAACTCAGACACACAACACCTGGAAAATCGGGTAACTCCCACACCAATACTGCGCTTTAAGCAAACAGGCACACCAGGAGATCATATCCCACACCTGGCCGGGAGTGTCCCACACCCACGGAGCCTACCTCATTGCTAGCACAGCAGTCTGTGATCTACCGGCAAGGCAGCAGCGAGGCTGGGGGAGGGGCGCCCGCCATTGCTGAGGCTTAAGTAGGTAAACAAAGCTGCTGGGAAGATCGAACTGGGTGGAGCTCACAGCAGCTCAAGGAAACCTGCCTGTCTCTGTAGACTCCACCTCTGGGGACAGGGCACAGTAAACAATAACAAACGCAGCAGCTCTGCAGACGCAAACGACTCTGTCTGACACCTTTGAAGAGAGCACTGGATCTCGCAACACGGA